TAAATGTGTGTGTGTGTGGAATACACACTTAACACGGAGTTGTTTTCGGAACTGGAATTATGCGCCTTTATTTGCCTGCTTGTGGTTCCATTATGCGAGAATCCGTTGTCATGACAGTTTTCAACCATGTACTCCACAATCGTAACCTGCTGTCTGGTTACCGAACCTCAAGTAAACGAATAAACACTATGTTGAGCATTTTTATTTGTGGAACTCTTTGTAGAGAATTGCCTCTCAATTTGCTGCAAATTATGTCCAATAGTAAATTCTATTAAAATGAAAGGTGTTCGAAACTCTACGTGCAGTTTGTATTGCTCAAGTTTAAATAGTATTAATAAGTAGAGTAATTGGGGGGGGGAGTATTTGACGTTAGCCAATTTTATACAACCTGCGATAAATTCAAACCTTGCTTATTTAGAGCTTTCAAATAACCCATTAGATAACGTTTCCATCATGAAAATAGGAGGTGGTTTGACAACTGAATCAAATTGATGGGAAACTAGGAGAATATTCAGAAGTAGACTAATCCCCTCCCCTCCCCCCCCCCCCCCCCCCCNCCCCCCCCCCCCCCCCCCCCCCCCCCACGTGATCTCGTGATCAATCAATCTGAAGAAGGGGTTACCCAGATAATTGTGTGTTTATTCTACTTCTCCTAAATGACTTCACTCGTCGAGCGATTGATTTTATTGTGTGTATCAATCTCCTTCGTTTTTATATGAGGCCTTAGTTCTAGCGATCACTTAATGACCCATTGGTTGAAAATCAATGTACGGGAATCTCTGTCTGTTACTTCTTTCTTACTAACATAATTACTGCAATCAATTGTTTACTTCTTACACTCTGTGCTATGGAAAACTATTGTTTTCATATTTCTACCATCGACTGTGTTACCGGTTTAAAATTCGTAATCCTTAATTCGTTAACCCATGTTTATATTGTTTCAATAGCTAACTCTTCATCTTTTACAAATTGTGCAGGCTCAAGGACGCAATGAGATATCTGTAGCCGCACACCAGATTGTCCAATTAATTCAGCGCACAGCTCAGCCAAGTATGGAGAGTCTAGCCTCCCAACCTCCCACTCCCACCGTTGAAAATCCCGAAGATGAAACTTCCGCCTCCGCACTTCCATGGGCTTTCGTTCGCTTTGTTGTGACAGGCAGTGCTGCCTCACCTAATGCTCCTGTGGATGAAGGCTTCATTCCAGCTCGACTGATTGGAGCTCCAGTGTATCCGAGATCTTCTTCCGTATCTGCTGGAGCTAATAGTGGAGGTCGACGATCGATGCGTCGTTGGTTACCAACTGCTGGGGCTTCATCAGCCAAAGATAGGCGACAACTTCCAGGGGCTGGAAAAAGGAGCTCCAAAGCGGATATGGCTCCTCCCATTCCAATCATCAACGTAAGTTTCTCTTAAAATTTATATTTATCTTATGAACTTTATGCCCTTTCATAATTATTTTTCTTTTCTATATGGTGTTTCTTAACAAGCTTCTTTATGCTTCCTATGAGTTATTTTTGTGCTATTGATGTTTGTAAGCCTAAACATCGCCAAATCTTTTTCAATCCGCTGGAAATGACGTGCGCGCACATCGATGTAGTTGATTCGCGAGTTATAGACGACCCATCGGGAATTTCTCACCCCGAGACAAAACGTTGGCATTAATGTTTCCAATTAGCCTCACTGTTAAGAAATTAATGTTTGTTCTTTGTTTTTCTTGCAGAGAGTTCGTGCCACAACTGCTCAACAGACTGCAATTGCAGCATCTGGAACTACTCAGGACAGCACTGTTCTTCTGGACAATGTCTCTGAGGAGAGTGTTGAGTTGGAATTACCGCCGCCTATGGTTGAACTCCAAGCCCTACCGACAACTTCGGCAGTCTCCGTGGAAAACGAGATGGATGAGACGAAAAAGCCTGAAGATGAAGGAACTAACGGTGGCCCACCTCACCTTTCTAGTCGATCTCCGTCTACTCTCAATATTTCAACCATGGGATGTGGCGAATTACAGGTGTGTAATTTACTAACTTGTGAGATGCATTCATATTTCTGCTGCTACTTCTTATTGCCCACTTAAGAATTCTAGACTCTGTCTAGCTATGCTAATGGATGTTAATGTTGTGGTTGTTCAACAAACAGTTGAATAAAAACACTGAAGACGAGTGATTTCTTTATTCGCTGCATGCCAATTGCAGGCATATATCATGATGATCGTGTTTCCCTAACTAGGAGGTAATGGTTCCACTGCGACTGTATGCAATACTTTTAAGTCTGATTGTTGTTTTTACTGGACCTAGCACAGTGCTATTAATGGCTGTGGCTTCTGTGCTACTAATGTGGTAAATAGAAGCTGCTTAAACAAGAGGCAGAGTTGGGAAACTCCGAGAACTCGTTCATCATCATAGCGGATTTGTTGAGTTAGCAACGCATAGACAGATCCGAAGAGTTAGAATACAGTTTGGAATGGATGTGGGGACAAATGGTGAAGCTCAATTTTACTACAGATGTTCGTGATCTTTCTTTCTAATTCGATTGATTGTGCTGTCGATAACCTTCTTCAAACTAAAAATAGAGCATATCGACTGAAATGGGCGTCGTTATGGGCTAGGACTGAAAGTATTCGGGTTCACTGGTTGCATCATCTTCATGCATTCGATTCACACTTTCTCGTCATTTTGTTCTCACTGCTATCACTTGCTAACTGCAACAAATTCTTGCCAATTCGTGCTTCTTACCTTACTCTAGTGAATGTGCAACTTTTAAGAGTGGTCGTATTTTCGCACTTATTTACCAATAGCTCACTTGCTTTAATACTAATCGACGTGCTTTTTTCTTTTAGTCGGCCAATTCCGAACTTAATCTCTCCCGTATGGTCGAAGCTGCTGGAGAAGGTGAAGACGGTGCTGGTCAATGCCTGCCTCCAGTCCTCACTGGTGTTCCATCCGATCTTCAACAGAATGCTCTCGGTTCTCTCCGTCTCCATGGTGCACTACGTATTGCCACACAACTCGTAGGTGCTTTGGAAGCCTCCCTCGCCGATCTGACAATATCCGACGGCAACGGTGGACTACGTACACCTGTGTACTCATCTACAGCTGCTCAGGATGAAGAATTGCTAAAAGCTATTGCAGAGGATTCCACAACTCTCTGTTTCGTCAATCGGCATCTTCTACTCTTCGATCAAGGTCTAGTAATTGCCGACGCAGCTGTAGAAGGTCCATCCAGAAGTGACGGTGGTGCCACAAGACAAATGAAGTGTCAATTCCGACACTATCTCTCTTTCTCCCAGATTGCTGTCCTGGAAGATATCAGTGTGGCTGGTTCACGTCCCACAGAAGAGCAAGTCCTTTGGTTCTGCGTGTCAGAGCGTCCGCGAAGATCTACTGTAGTTTCCAGTGGAAATGGGTTAATGATGGGAGGTGCTGACGGTGGGTTACAGTCGCATCTTTGCCATGTTCTTGCACCCCATTCACCAGAGATTCGTGTCCGCTGGTTATCAGAACTCAACACTGCTTTGGAACAGAGTAAGATTCGAGCAGCTGTTGGGTCGACTGTTAACAATACTACTACCTCGGGAGATGAAGGTGGGTTTCATGGATTAAGCCAAGATTTGCTCTCATGTCTTCCACGCTCTATATCCGGTCGATTTGATCTTTTCCAGGTTCGGGAGTGAATCCTCTTTTGCCACTTGCTTAAAGCGAAAAGCGCGTTGTTCGGACGTCTCCACTTTTTCTCGCTTTTGTGTACATATTGAATCCGCTGAAGTAGACAAAAAGATCGTTTTAACCAGTCGATGCCCCCCATACACTTGAGTGCATTTAACCGCTCCCCTTGAATCCAATTTAAATTGACCCTTGACCTCTCCCTTACCCTGGTAAATCTCTGACTCACTGGCTACCTACTACTTCTGATTTGACATTGCGAGGGTGTGTTGAGTATTTTTTTTCCTGTTTGTTTGAGTTGAGGGCCAAACAAAGAAGACAATCAATCAACAAAATTAGTAAATATTAATTTTTTTCTCGTTCCCGGTTTACTGACCTCTCCTTCCCAGCAGAACTCGCGTGTTCCCATCACTATCTCTTTACTGTGCATATCTTATATAAATATACATATTCGAGGCTGTACTTCGTTCGTCAAGTTATTGTAGGCGGCGCGGGGGGGGGGGTTGGTGGGTGTGGTTCTTTTATCTACTTATTAGCTGGTAGAATGTCACCTCTATGGTCCGAAGATTAATATGTGCCTCTGAAACTGGCGCCTTCAATGTTATAATAGCTCAGTATTTTATAACCTACTCGTTTATTGAGTAGTTGTGTACTATTGGCTGTGATTTTTAGGTTAGGTGCTAAGCAAGGCATATTTGGCTTGTTGCTAATCTTATTTACTCCGTTGGTAAAAGGGTACTAAGGAAGCCTGGTAGGGAAAAAATTTAAAACGGAAAACGTTTGGAGACTTTTCCTCTGTATTATGATATGTTTGTAGGCTGGCTCTACCTCCAATTAAGTTAGTATTTACGTGCGTATTTTAATATGGGATGAAAGTTACTGTTTTGCTTTCAATATGGCAACATGGCAAACATCGATTTCTTTTTGTCTGTGAAAATTACGAATAAAGTATAGCATGCTTTCCTAATAAGCTATGGTATATTTCAATTTGATCATTTGCCCTCTCAGCTATTGGTTTGAAAATGGAGAATAGTGGTAATTAGAACGGGGAATATCATACGCACGTAATTTCCGCGATCAGGTAAACTAGCCGTTACATAAGTATTGTACGCCCAAAATTCGAAAAAGGAATGAAGTCTAAGAGCCTTTCATACCTTGATTTTATCTTCTGTACCTTTTTATGCCCTCCTTATCACATTGTTCAGCGCTCATTTTATGCTGATAGTGCCGTAATGGAGGTCCTGTGGTATGAGATCCGATATCTAAGTCATCATAATGACCAGATATAACCAATGCGGTTGACCATTCCCCAACCGGGTAGGTTTCAATGGAATCAACCCCACGGCCTCTATCTTGACAGATGAGTACGGTTACCGAATATTTATATCAAATGGCAGGCTTTGTGGTAATTATCATTAGCCTTTTAGTTGACTGCGGGTTTCACAGAGGGGAGGGAGGAACATCAAAGTGAAAAAAATTCTATAGGGGGGGGGGGGAGAGGGAACAGAAGAGTGCTTCAAAGATGTAGAAGAGACAGGCGTGGAGATAGGGAAATAGGTGAGGTGAGTACTGTGAACCATGCAGTGGGATCATGGTAGTTTGAGGTCAGAGGTCAACTGCCGAACAATAGACTTTTGTGCGTATGAGTATACGTTGCCCAGGGTGCACCACGTGGAGATAAGTCTATCGCGTACCCCATTTATTCGATGTCAATTCTTGTATTAGAAACCGGAATTCTACATCCTTTTGTGGGTGCTAATAAAATTATGCTTAATGCTTTCTAACCCCATTTAGGGAGATGTTTTCTAGACTTCATCTTATGTTGATATTGTCGTAATAGAGATCCTCTGGTTGGAACTCCGACATCTATGGCATCATAAGGACCGTTCCCGCACTGAGTAGGTTTCGATGAAATTAAGAGCACAACCTCTGGCTTCACAGCCGAGTATGTAATCGGTCGCCTGATGGTAGCATGTATTTTTATGCAGTCCTAAAATGTAGAACGAAGCGTCAGTAAAAGATATAGACGTTTTCCACGTTGAGAGCTTAGGGGAGAGTATCCATTTTGTCTACATTTGGCCATGGCACTTGACCCATAGCTCAAATTCGTAATCATTACTTCACTATATTAACCAGTTACTGTCTTCCAATCTGGGTGTTGATTATTGCCAAAAAGAGGCATTTCTTAAAGGATTAAAACAATTGGAACATAATACCAACACCTGAAAGGTCATTATGAGAAGTTTGTGGTTGGATCAGAAAATGTGTAAGCAACACAAAATTCTGTTTTGCTTCCAGCTTTCTATTACCAAGTACTTCTAAAAACACGCAATTATGAGTAAATTTAATTGCCCATAAATCAGGTATTTTCTCTAAATTAATATCTTGATAGTCTGCCAATAGCAAGTCCACAGACAGTAGAGTGTCAAGTTATCAAATTAAGAATGCCTCAAGTTGTGTCTTAGTGGCAAACGCTTTGATGGATTGGCAATTTGCTCGTTTGATATATTTGACCATATGAGGGGTGTTTCGGTAGACTTGCCTCCACGTGGTGCACCCTGGGCAAAGTATGCTCAAGCCGCAGTTGACATCCGACTTCAAACTGCCATGGCCCCACTGTATGTCATATTCCATCACTTTCACGGTACTCATCTTACCTCTTCTCTGTCTTTGTGTCTCTGTCTTTTTTACATCTGTCAATCACTCTTCCCCTCTCGAATTTTTCCCACTGTGATATTCCTCCCCTCTACGAGGCTCGAAGTCAGCTAAATGGCTAATGATAACTATCAAAACGCCTGCCATTTGCAACAAATATTTGATCATATAGCCAGGTATAGATTTAGAGGCCTAATATCGTGTGACATAGTTTTCACATTTATTGCGAAATAGGCTTTCCTGAACAGTAAGTGATTTTTCCAAATCAATTACGCCTTTCAATAATTCATCGTGCACAATTTATTTGCCTATTGCATGCGCCTTTAAGCCCAGGTTTGTTCCCCAATGGGCTGGTATTCAATCTACACCCCAAAATAGGAAGGCAGATTCAAGCTTACTACTGTTCAGGAGATGCGAGAAAATTTGACAAGCTGCTAGTTGCAAAAAGCCCTCTCTGGTTTGTGTCTCAATTATTTATATCAAATGGCAGGCTTTATGACATTTATCATTAGCCCTTTAGTTGACTTCGGGCTACACAAAGTGGAGGAACGGACAAAGTCACAAAATGTCGGGGGAGGGGAGGAAGAAGTGTGTTTCAAAGATGTATAAGAGACAGATTCAGAGGTGGAGAAAATGGTAAGGTGAGTACTGCGAAGTGTTCGAATATGACCTACAGTGGGGTCATGGTAGTCTGAAGTCAGAAGTGAATTGCTGGTTTATAGACTTTTATGGCGCATGAGTATATGTTGGCCAGGGCGCACCACGTGGGGGTAAGTCTACCGCACACTCCATGTCTCAATTATGAATCCCGGTGAATGAATAGTTGCATGGAGGAGTAGTGAGTCATATGTCGTTGTTTTGGTCGAGTAGACAGTCGAGTGACGAGGCTAAGCCTGAAGCAACGATTAATCCAGACAAAAAAATGGGGATTGAAAAATAAGCCTTTAGCTTATCAGACTTAGATTGAGGTGATTTGGAGGGACGTTGGGTCATAAACCTTGACAAATGACAGTTCGAATTGCTCTGAACTAGAGAGGTGTCTTTCACTCCACTTCTGAATCATGCATTTTTATTATCGATTGCTTATCTACCACACAGGTTAGCATGCCCGAATTTTTACAAAATAAAGCTGGAATTGACCCTCTTTTAATAAAGACAATCAATAATTTTCCCTGAATGGACCCAACAACTGTGTACCTCTAACTCTCCTTTTATATTCTTTTCTGTATTTAGCAATACCAAAGATAATATTTACCCCAACAGAACCATCTTGAAGCTTTGATACCATCTCCCGATTTTGGTGACAGCTAAGTTTTCTGGTTCTCGTTTGAATAAGTAATTATAATTTGAGAAACGGCAGTTGAATTTACTGCCCTAGTGACGCGATCGGTTAAAATATTTGTAGCAATGATTCTCAGGACCGAAGGATTTAAGATGATTAGAAGTAAATGTACCTCGGTCTCTCTCTCATTTTAGGGCATTGAACTTTCATAGTACATTTCCGTGCTTTGTTCAGTTTTGCGTTATCCCTACTTCGCCACAATTTCCCCACTCACCCCCCCCCCCCCCCCCCCCCCACCCTCTTTCATCATCTATATTCGACTGTTATTTCACTTTCATGAGTCATTCATACGGATTCCTAATGGCATGGGCAATAAAAAGTCGAATTTGCCCATCATGTGCGTATCTTGTGTAGGCTATTGGCACTTTATACTTGCCATCTACGTGACTGATGGCTCTTGGGAATCATTGCGCCGCTCTCTATTTCCGGGTCTAAGCAACTGCAACCATAGTACATTTTCAGTGGGTAATCTTTATAAAGTATTCAAAAAAAATGTTTGAAGGCATTGGCGAGCGGACACCCTTAGTAGATGATAGAAAACTCTAACTAAGTGACTTCCGAAATGAAGTGCCCAGAAGGTGTTCAAGCCTCTCTCTTAAAGAGGTGCCGCAAAAAAAGATTACTTTTAAACTATATTCAAAACTAACTGGGACCAAGCTATAAACCAGAGTTCAATTTATTTCGACTTCGTTTTGCTAATTAAACGTGGATATGGAAAACATCAAAACATATTTGATAGTGGGTGGTCCTATGTTAAAAGGTCGATAGTAAAAATAGAATGGCGTTCACTTGCACCTCGTATACAAATCGATAATTGTGCTCAGGTGATCTATATGCAGTTAAAATGCGTTGGAAATTGAAGCAGACTAGGTGTAAAGGTTTTGTTAAGGTTAAAATGAGGAGAAGAGAAACCAATTGTTCCTGGTTATACTGTGGCAAACTTCATATTCCATTCTCCAGTCCACACAAATTCCTCGATCTATCATAAAATGAAATAAGGAGAGAATCTTAAAA